AGGGAAAGGCGATTGTAAGCTGCTCTGAGACGCCTTTGGGTAGTGAAGGGCGGGGGAGAAATCCAATCTCTTCTTCTTCTTTTACCTCACAGGGTGTCTGTTGTGGGGAGGGGAAGGGAAAGGCGATTGTAAGCTGCTCTGAGACGCCTTTGGGTAGTGAAGGGCGGGGGAGAAATCCAATCTCTTCTTCTTCTTTTACCTCACAGGGTGTCTGTTGTGGGGAGGGGAAGGGAAAGGCGATTGTAAGCTGCTCTGAGACGCCTTTGGGTAGTGAAGGGCGGGGGAGAAATCCAATCTCTTCTTCTTCTTTTACCTCACAGGGTGTCTGTTGTGGGGAGGGGAAGGGAAAGGCGATTGTAAGCTGCTCTGAGACGCCTTTGGGTAGTGAAGGGCGGGGGAGAAATCCAATCTCTTCTTCTTCTTCTTCTTCTTCACCAACACCTTAGAAAGTGGGTGGGGCCAGGTGGCACGTTTGCTCAGTAAAGCCTCTGATTGGCCATTGGAGATTTGATTGGCTGTCCAGATTTTTAAAAAACAACCCAGTGCTTGGGCAGCGGCTGTTTTCATAGCACAAAGGTTTTCACTGGGTGACTTAGCCATTTTGTGGCAGCCATTTTGTAGATGTGCCTACCACACTATGTCAGAATCGCAAAAGGGGCCCACCGGCTCAAAAGAGATGGGGACCCCCTGACCTAGATAACAGGGCAGACGTTGCAAATATTCTCACCAGCTGTCTGTGCTCAAGGCCTGTGGAAAGGCTTGAGTGCGAGCATAAAACCTAGGGTTGCCTACTCCAAGTTGTCTAGATAGTGTGTGACTGCAACAAAAAAGGCCAATGCTATGCTGGGGATTATTAGGAAGGGAATTGAAAACAAATCAGCCAGTATCATAATGCCCCTATATAAATCAATGGTACGACCTCATTTGCAGTACTGTGTGCAGTTCCTCAGAAAGGATATTATAGTATTGGGAAAAGTGCAGAAAAGGGCAACTCAAATGATAACAGGGTTGGAACACTTTCCCTATGAAGAAAGGTTAAAGCGCTGGGGGCTCTTTAGCTTGGAGAAACGACAGCTGAGGGGTGACATGATCGAGGTTTACAAGATCATGCATGGGATAGAGCAGGTCGAGAAAGAAGTACTTTTCTCCCTTTCTTACAATACAAGAACTCCTGGGCACTCCATGAAATTGCTGAGCAGTCGGGTTAGAACGGAGAAAAGGAAGTTCTTCTTCACCCAAAGAGAGATTAACACATGGAATTCACTGCCACAGGAGGTGGCGGTGGCTACAAGCATGGATGGCTTCAAGAGGGAATTGGATAAACCTGTGGAGCAGAGATCCATCAGTGGCTATTAGCCACAAGGTATAGATAGGGACTCTCCGTCTGGGGCAAGGGATGCTCTGTATTCTTGGTGCTGGGGGGGGGGCAACAGTGGGAGGGCTTCTAGTGTCCCGGCCCCACTGGTGGACCTCCTGAGGGCACCTGGTATTTTTGGCCACTGTGAGACAGAGTGTTGGGCTGGATGGGCCATTGGCTTGATCCAACATTGGCTTCTCTTACGTGCTTCTATGGAGCAGAGGTCAATCAGTGGCTATTAGCCACAAGGTATAGATAGAAACTCTCCGTCTGGGGCAAGGGATGCTCTGTATTCTTGGTGCTTGGGGGGCAACAGTGGGAGAGCTTCTAGTGTCCTGGCCCCGCTGCTGGACCTCCTGATGGCCCCTGGTATCTTTTGGCCACTGTGTGACACAGAGTGTTGGACTGGATGGGCGGTTGGCCTCATCCGACATTGGCTTCTCCTATGTTCTTAATGTTCAAGTTGGGAAATTTCTGGGGATGGAGCCTGTTGAGGGCAGGGCTTGGAGAAGGAAGGGACCTGGGGGGGGGGGGGTAATGCCATAGCGTTACAGTTGCCAGGTCCTCCGTGGCCACCGGCAGTGGATGGGGGGCTGGGTTGCCAGATCTAGGTTGGGAAACTCCTGGAGACATGGAGATGGAACCTTGGGAGGACAGGAACGTCCGCCTCAAAGTCTCCATTTTCTCCAGGGGAACTGATTTCTGTAGTCTGGAGACGAGGAATCACACCTCATCCCCAGGTCTCAACTGGAGGATCCCCAAGTCTCAACTGGAGGATCCCCAGGTCTCACATGGGGGGATGGCTTGCCTACGTAGAGTCCACCTTCCAGGAGAGCCATCTCCTTCAGGGGAACTGATCTCTGTGGCCTGGGGATCAGATGAAATTCTGGGAGCTCTCCGGGCCTCACCTGGAGGTTGGTAACCCTAATAGAAACAGTTGTAATTCTCTGTCTCTAGCATTTATTGGCACACGAGTCCTTGTTCTAAGGCAGAAGCTTAGATCCTCGGGTAAATCTGCACCGATGGTAGGGACTTCCCTTCTTGCTTCAGTAATGTACACGACATGTGGGACTCCCTGCTCCTGAAAGCAGGGGCGGCTACAAGCACAGACGGCTTCAAGAGGGGACCGGAGAAACGGAGCAGAAGTCCATGAGTGGCTATTAGCCACAAGGCATAGAGGGAACACTCTTATCTGGGGCAGTGATGCTCTGTCTTCTTGGTGCTTGGGGGACAATAGTGGGAGGGCTTCTGGAGTTCTGGCCCCACTGGTGGACCTCCTGATGGCCCCTGGGTTTTGGCCACTGTGTGACACAGAGTATTGGACTGGATGTGCCATTGGCCTGATCCAACATGGCTTCTCTGATGTTCTTATGTCTGGGGCAGTGATGCGCTGTCTTCTTGCTGGTGGGGGGACAAGAGTGGGAGGGGCTTCTGGAGTTCTGGCCCCACTGGTGGACCTCCTGATGGCACTCGTATTTCTGGCCACTGTGTGACTCAGAGTGTTGGACTGGATGGGCTGTTGGACTGATCCAACATGGCTTCTCTTATGTTCTTATACTCTGCATTCTTGGTGCTTGCGGGGCCACAGTGGGAGGGCTTGTAGAGCTCTTGCCCCTCTGGTGGACCTCCTGATGGCCCCTGGGTTTTGGCCACTGTGTGACACAGAGACTGGATGGGCCCTTGGCCTGATCCAACATGGCCTCTCTTACGTTCTTATGTCTGGGGCAGTGATGCTCTGTCTTCTTGGTGCTTGGGGGACAATAGTGGGAGGGCTTCTGGAGTTCTGGCTCCACTGGTGGACCTCCTGATGGCCCCTGGGTTTTGGCCACTGTGTGAGACAGACGGTTGGACTGGATGGGCCGTTGGCCTGATCCAACATGGCCTCCCTTACATTCTTATGTCTGGGGCAGTGATGCTCTGTATTCTTGGCATTTGGGGGGCAACAGCGGGAGGGCTTCTGGAGTTCTCGGCCCCGCTGGTGGACCTCCTGAGGGTCCCTGGGCTTTGGCCACTGTGTGACACTGAGTGTTGGACTGGATGGGCCACTGGCCTGATCCAACACTGGCTTCTCTCATTCCTGCAGAAAATGCCCCCAAGAATGGCATTGGTAGGAACTGAGGGTCTGCAGTAGCAAATCTCCCTCTGCCATTAGTGGAAATTTATTTGGGATGGAAGCCAGCGAATGCAGAGTTTAAATTGGGCTGAAGCTTGTGATAGAGAATTGACAGAAGCCAAGTTGAGCAGTGTTCCCTAGTGGTCTTGGGGGCACACTGCCCCCATAGACAGTGTTCCCTCTAAGCTGAGTTAGTGTGAGCTAGCTCACAGTTTTTTAGCCTCCGGCTCACACATTTTTGTCTCAGCTCAGGAATGACGGCTCCAGAGCAAACTTAATTTCTGCAGGAGCCAAATGGCTCGCTCACAACTTTAATGCCAGGAGCTCACAAAGTACAAATTCTGCTCACAACACTCCACAGCTTAGGGGGAGCATTGCCCATAGGCACTGACTGATCATTAGCCACTAGATTATTAGTTTAGCTTATTAGCTTCCAATTTTAGGATCTCTTTCCTGGATGGCTAAATTCAACTCCTTTCTTAAAATATGATGTTATTGTTATTGTTATTATTTACAAAATTTGTGTCCCATCTTTCTGCTCTCATGAGGGCTGCCAAGACAGCTAATAATTTGAAACATGCATTAAAATTACATTATACAACCACTAGGAATAAGGCCCATTGTGGAGACAAATACAACAAACTCTAGCCTGGCCACCGCCTGCCAGCCCCTCCCTCGGGAGAAGAAGGGACAGTGGCAGCCTCGTCCCCCGGGCCCAGCGGCAGGTAGAGCACTGCCGTTCCGCCACCGGAGTCCCAGCTTCCGCCGTCAGGGTTGGACAGGAGGAGGCATTTGGTGCAGCGGCAGGTCTGCATGAGGGAGGCCTCGCGGTGTGTTTGGCAGTGTTGCTGGTGGTGGCAGCGGAGCACAGCATGGAACGGCATCAGAGCCAGTTCGGCTGAGCCGGACAACGACAACAGGGCTGCCGGTGGAGGGGCGGCATCCCGCCGCCGCAGGAGCAGCCCCCACCCTGCCCCTGCCTCTTTGGCTGTGGCGTTTCTGAACGTCTCTGGCCTGTCACTTCTCTTCCCCACGTCTCCCAGTCGGCGTGCTGACCCTCTGGCTGCTGGAGCATCCGTCCCGTCGGTTGGCTCAGAGCACAGAGGCAAGGGAGCCAGCCAATGCAGCCAGTGGATCCTTCAGAGTGGCAGGTGACAGAGCCAAAGGCTGTGGGAGCATGTGCAGGAGAGACACCAAAACTCTTTTTATATATAAGGAGAGATTAAAACCAAACCCTCTCCCAAACATACAGCATAAAAACAACTTTAAAAAGAGTTAAAATACAGAACATAAAATCATGGGTTAGGAAAGGGGCAGTGATGAGAAAGAATTTTGGTTCAGACTAGACAGCAGGTCCAGCATCCCCCGACCCCCGTCCGAGCCCCAAGTGATTGAGTCTCAGTTCAGATGTGTGAGTCACAGTCATGTGACTGCTGGCAAGCCACCGATTGGTCCCTGCCCCTATAAAAGTGCTGTCCCCGACGGAGTCATCCTTCAGTCAGGAATAACTCCCAAGCCTTCTGCGTTGGTTCCTTACTTCTCTTGCGACAGAACGTGACAAATCAGTTACTCAATAGTTACTCGGTGGGTGAATCATTGTTGCTTATTTGTGGGCATGGAGAACGTGTTTCTGTAAAGTTCGGGGTGGGGGGGGTTGGTGGGGAGCTAATACGTTCCCCAGACCTTCTCATATTTCTATGAGCATCTGAAAACGCTTCATTCTTCTAATCTTACAGGGGCCCTGTTGACTTCTGGAAAGGAAAAAAACCTCCCAGTTTGACTCTGCGTCGCCTCGAGCCACTGCAAGCGGGACAGAGGTGGATTACTGGTGAGTTATCCCATGCCAGGCCTTGTCGGTTTTGTTCGTTTTATGGTCTACTTATCTCCTGCCTCGGTACCGATATGAGAGTTGCTGAGACCGCTGTGTAGATCCGGCGAGCAAAGGTCAAACCAGACTTTCCTGGAGAATTCGTATGTGTTTACTCACCCGTTGCCTGTTTTAATCAAATATGGGCCTGCGAGCCAAATGAAAAGAAAACATCTACCCATCTTGAGCACATTCACATGGAAACAGATGAGAATCTTCCTGAGGAGGAGGAGGAGGAGGAGGAGATTGGATTTATACCCCACCCTTCACTACCCAAAGGTGTCTCAGAGCGGCTTACAATCTCCTTTCCTTTCCCCTCCCCACAACAGACGCCCTGTGAGGTAGAAGAAGAAGAAGAAGAAGAGATTGGATTTATACCCCACCCTTCACTACCCAAAGGTGTCTCAGAGCGGCTTACAATCTCCTTTCCTTTCCCCTCCCCACAACAGACACCCTGTGAGGTAGGTGGGGCTGAGAGAGCTCTGACAGAAGCTGCTCTTGAGAGAACAGCTCTGAGAGAACTCGTGACCAACCCAAGGTCGCACCAGCAGCTGCATTGGGAGGAGTGGGGAATCAAACCTGGTTCTCCCCGATTAGAGTCCGCTCTCTTAACCACTACACCAAACAGTGTTCCCTCTAAGCTGAGTGAGTGTGAGCTAGCTCACAGCTTTTTAGCCTCCGGCTCACCCATTTTTGTCTTAGCCCAGGAAGGGATGGCTCCAGAGCAAACTAATTTCTGCAGCATCCAAATCGCTCGCTCACGACTTTGATGCCGGTAGCACGGAAAGGAGAATTTTTGCTCCCAGGACTGCACGGCTCAGAGGGAGCATTGGTAACCGTATCTCCTTCTGCTTTCTCTGGGACGGCACACAGGGCTCAAAACATTGTAGCCCAGCTCCTTTGGGGTTTTCCCTGATAGATTTTCTGATTTGTTTCCTGCCTTCCTACCCAATCGGGACCCAGAAAGGCTCAGGGGTGTCAAACATAAGGCCCGCGGGCCAGAACCGGCCATCAAGGGCACTTACCCAGCCCGCAGACAACTGGTATGTATGGAAATGGAAGGTACGCTCCCTTTTATGGTATCCCTTGGGAAAACCCTATCTTGCATATGATTAAATACATTTATTGGGGCCTTTGTGGGTTCCCCAGTATATCAATTGCTTTCACGGCTGGGAATCAATTGCTTTTGTTTGTATTTTGAGTAAAAAATAATATTGTTTATTGGGTTTCCCTGTGTCCTTTATAAAGCTTATATCTCCGGTACCTGGCATTACATTGTGTGGCACACATGACCCGGCCCAACAAAATGAGGGAGTGGTTAAGAGCGCGGACTCTGATCTGGGAGAACAGGGTTGGATTCCCCACTCCACCACATGCAGCTGCTGGTGTGACCTTGGGTCAGTCACATGTTCTCTCAGAGCTGTTGTCTCACGACCAGTTCTGGAAAGAGTTCTCTCTGCCCCACCTACCTCACAGGATGTCTGTTGTGGGGAGGGGAAAGGAAAGGAGCTTGTAAGCCGCTCTGAAGACTCCTTCGGGTGGTGAAGGGCGGGGGATAAATTCCTCCTCCTCCTCCCCCCACTCTTCTTCTTCTCCTCGTAATAAATGCGTTTGACATCTCTGGCTTACATCATTCTCCTCCCCTCCATTTTAGCCTCACAACAACCCTGTGAGGTAGGTTAGCCTCACAACAACCCTGTGAGGTAGGTTAGGCCGAGAGTATGTGACTGGCCCAAGGTCACCCAGCGGGCTTCCGTGGCAGACTGCGGGATTCGAACCTGCCTTTCCCAGACCCTAATCCAACACAGCAACTACCGTACTGCGTTGGTTCTTTGCAACGCCCTCGGGCTCTTCCCCAGGGGAAATCTGGCCGCTGGACTTATTCCTGGCATGAGACTGGGGGAGGGAGTTCCCCTACCGAAATGCTATGCAGTGTGAAAAGACGCAGGAAGCTTGCCAGAGAAACAGAAACCTGCTGGTTCACCTCTTAACGGGTGTTTTGAAAGGATGGCTTTCAGGAGGAAGCGAGCTCCCCCCCCCCCCCCGCCACCGCCAGTTCTTGGAACTGGAACTCTTTTGAGTTTCCCTTTTGCACGCGGGAAGTCCCGAGTTGGTTCTGTGGTTAAAGAGCTCCAGGAAAGAGCTGAGCCCTATGATGCCCATCATAGAATCATAAAGTTTTGGGGTTTTTTTAAGTTATTTTTATTTCAGTTTTCTTATGCATTACATCATGCATACCTATCACTTCTACATTTGTCAATATCTTAACAGAGTCGTCACAATCTAGTTTTATACTTTATTTTCCCTAATCTATATATAGAACCTTTTCCATCTAACAGTGAATATTTGCATATCCTTATTTTCTAGTATTGTAGTCAGTTTATCTACTTCAACTACTTCTTGTATTTTGGTAATCAACTCTCTTCTTGACGGTATCCTTTCTGATTTCCAATTTTTGGCAAACAAAATAACGTGCTGCTGTTATAATGAATCCAATTACATACTTTTCTTCCTTTTTCAACTTATCTGGCATTAAGTTTAACAGAAACATAGATATTTAATTTTGGTGACCATCTTCATTCGAGACACTTTTTCTATCTGATCAATTTGACGCGTTGTACATAAAGTTGTAAGGGACCTCGAGGTCATCTAGTCCAACCCCCTGCACAATGCAGGAAATTCACAAACGCCTCCCCCTCCAAACCCGCAGTGACCGCTGATCAACCCCCCCCCCCCCCCCCAGATCTCTGGTCAAACTGTCCTGGAGAAAAATGACTTCCTGACTCCCAAGTGGCGATCGGCATTTCGCTGGGTGTGTAAGAAAGGGCCACAAGAACTAAGCACGGATTAAACCCTTCCTGCCCTCCCTCTCATGATCTGCCTGAATTCACAGAATCCGCCTTGCTGTCAGAGGGCGATCTAGCCTCTGCTTGAAAACCTCCAAAGAAGGAGAGCCCGCCACCTCCCGAGGAAGCCTGTTTCACCGAACAACCGCTCTAGCTGTCAGGAAGTTCTTCCTAATGTTTAGCTAAGAACTCTTCTGATTTAATTTCAACCCCTCGGTTCTGATTCGACCTTCTGGGGCAACAGAAAACAGGAGAAGACAGGAGAAGGAAGATAGGAGATGACCTTATACTGGGCAGAAGGTCCCCCGGTTCAGTCCCCAGCATCTCCAATGAAAAAGGACCAGGCAGGAGGTGATGAGAAAGACCTTTGCCTGAGACCTGGGAGAGCCATAGCTCAGTGGTAGAGCATCTGCTTGGCATGCAGGAGGTCCCAGGTTCAATCCTCGGCATCTCCAGTGAAAAAGGACCAGGCAGGAGGTGATGAGAAAGACCTTTGCCTGAGACCTGGGAGAGCCATAGCTCAGTGGTAGAGCATCTGCTTGGCATGCAGGAGGTCCCAGGTTCAATCCTCGGCATCTCCAGTGAAAAAGGACCAGGCAGGAGGTGATGAGAAAGACCTTTGCCTGAGACCTGGGAGAGCCATAGCTCAGTGGTAGAGCATCTGCTTGGCATGCAGGAGGTCCCAGGTTCAATCCTCGGCATCTCCAGTGAAAAAGGACCAGGCAGGAGGTGATGAGAAAGACCTTTGCCTGAGACCTGGGAGAGCCATAGCTCAGTGGTAGAGCATCTGCTTGGCATGCAGGAGGTCCCAGGTTCAATCCTCGGCATCTCCAGTGAAAAAGGACCAGGCAGGAGGTGATGAGAAAGACCTTTGCCTGAGACCTGGGAGAGCCATAGCTCAGTGGTAGAGCATCTGCTTGGCATGCAGGAGGTCCCAGGTTCAATCCTCGGCATCTCCAGTGAAAAAGGACCAGGCAGGAGGTGATGTGAAAGACCTTTGCCTGAGATCTGGGAGAGCCATAGCTCAGTGGTAGAACATCTGCTTAGCATGCAGGAGGACCCAGGTTCAATCCCCGGCATCCCCAGTGAAAAAGGACCAGGCAGGAGGTGATGAGAAAGACCTTTGCCTGAGACCTGGGAGAGCCATAGAGAAGAGCCATAGCTCAGTGGTAGAACATCTGCTTGGCATGCAGGAGGTCCCAGGTTCAATCCCTGGCATCTCCAGCGAAAAAGGACCAGGCAGGAGGTGATGGGAAAGACCTTTGCCTGAGACCTGGGAGAGCCATAGCTCAGTGGTAGAGCATCTGCTTGGCATGCAGGAGGTCCCAGGTTCAATCCCCAGTGAAAAAGGACCAGGCAGGAGGGGATGGGAAAGACCTTTGCTTGTGACCTGGGAGAGCGGCTGCCAGTCTGAGTAGACAAGACTGACCTCGGTTGGCCAAGGTCCTGACGTAACATGGGGCAGCTTCGTGCGCTCAGGTGTTCCCAAAAAAACATGTAATTTTCACTAAACCTCGGCGGCGATCTCGTTTTTCACAAAAGGACAATTGTTTTTTTCCTTGCGTCATTATTAATCACCCTCTCCCTGCTCAGTCTTCCAGGTCTCTTGCGAGAGCACGGCAGTTTATTAGCTCCCTGATGGATCGCCTTAATTTCTTCCTTCTTCTTTCGCCTTCGGCAGAGTGCGCTTGAAAGGAGGGGAAAGAGGCACCCGAAGACGGCTCCGATGGCCAGCAACAACACCACCAGCATCGCGCAAGCCAGGAAACTGGTGGAGCAGCTCAAAATGGAAGCAAACATCGACAGAATAAAGGTAACTCGGCGGGAAGTGGGCGTCTGTTGGCTTTCGGCGCGGGTCCTGGGAAACTCTTGAGTGGGTTCCTTTGCTAGAAGATCAGGTCAATGAAATCCCCTGGAAATCCCCTTGTCCACCTCTCCAGAGAAGTCTCTAGGGTTGGCATTATGGTGTATTCTGAGTGACCAGAGTGAAGGTGTAAACCAGGGGTCTCCAATGTGGTGCCCATGGGCATCAGGGCACCCTCCAACACCTTTGGTGTAGTGGTTAAGAGTGGTGAACGCGACTCTGGAAAACCGGGTTTGATTCACCACTCTTCCACATGCAGCCAGCTGGGTGACCTTGGGTCAGTCACAAGTTCTCTCAGAGCTGCTAAGACGAAGAAGCGGAAGAGGATCAGAGCAGAGGTCCATCAGTGGCTATTAGCCACAAGGTATAGATAGGGACTCTGGGGCAAGTGATGCTCTTGGGGCTTGGGGGGTCAACAGTGGGAGGGCTTCTGGTGTCCTGGCCCCACTGGTGGACCTCCTGATGGCACCTGGTATTTCTGGCCACTGTGTGACACAGAGTGTTGGACTGGATGGGCCATTGGCCTGATCCAACATTGGCGTCTCTTCTGTTCTCTTCTGTTCTTAGGATCTATACCCCACCCTTCACTTGGAGTCTCAGAGTGGCTCCTTCCCTTCCTCTCCCCATAACAGACCCCCTGTGAGGTAGGTGGGGCTGAGAGAGCTCTTTCGAGAACTGCTCATGAGAGAACAGCTCTGAGAGAACAGTGACTGACCCAAGGTCACACCAGCAGCTGCATGTGGAGGAGTGGGTGAATCAAATCTGGTTATCCCAGATTAGAGTCCAGGCTCCTAGCCGCTACACCAAAACTGGGTAGAAGAAGAAGTAGAGATGAGATTGGATTTACACCCTGCCCTTCACTCAGAGTCTCAGAGGGGCCTACAATCCTTTTCCCTACCCCTCCCCACCACAGACACCCTGTGAGGTAGGTGGGGCTGAGAGAGCTCTTTCGAGAACTGCTCATGAGAGAACAGCTCTGAGAGGACTTGTGACTGACCCAAGGTCATCCAGCTGGCTGCATCTGGAGGAGTGGGTGAATTAAACCCGGTTCTCCAAATTAGAGTCCGCTGCTCTTTAAAAAAAAATTTAAAAAAATCAATTTTTATGTGAAGAACTCAAGCAATAACAAAGAATAACCGCCAACATATTACCAAAAGTAAATAGTAACAATACTCTGAAGAACTATAATAAGCATGAGCACGAGTGTTAAGTCGTGCGCTTAACAAAGAGTCGGAGAGTGATTTCAGCAAGAATGCGGTTTATTCTTCAGCTCAGATACTTCTCCTTCGTTACGGTACAACAATCGCCAGCCAGAACCCATCGAATAAATACACTGGCTTGTCGATATTTAAACACTCCCGGCTAATGTAGCCACACCCCCTGTACAGATAACAACCTATGAGGTTGAAGATATAATACCCAATCACAAGCGGTCCCGCTTTGCATAGTGATTGGTAGACACTTTCTGGGCTAGGACTCCTATTGGTTACATTAGGATCCTAGCCCAGGCTGAAGCTTAACATTAGGTTTCAATTAGGCGATTCGCATGTCAGTATTTACATTCAAGTCAATACATAACAACGAGCATTAACTCAGTTGATTACTTTGTACAAAGCAATAACAGAAATTATGCATAAATACACGTGCCCGTCATATTGTCATTAGAATTAGGAATGATGTTCAGGAATGATAAGACTAAACTAAACTCTGTCAGTATTTTGAGGATTGAGATTCAAGGCAATTAGAAATTGAAGCCGTGAGTGACAAGCTTCGTTAGACGGGAGAATATCTTTGGTAGACATATACTGGAGAGCACGTGACCCAATGGATGGGAAGCGTAACCGCCACACCAGACTTATTTAGAAAGGGTAATGTCCCCCACTTCCTAACACCGCATCAAGGCACAAAAGAACCAAAAAGGAAGCACTGAAAATGCAAAAAATGAAATAAAAATCCCGCCGTTCAAAATAACAATGAACGCGCCACATGACGGAGTGAGCTCCTGTCTCTGGTTCCAGTTCCTGCCAACCAAGCAGTTCGAAAGCAAGAAATTGCAAGTAGATAAATAGGTACCGCTTCGGTGGGAATAATGATGCTCCACAGGTCAAGACACTGAGCGGCAGACCAGAAGGTCTGTAGTTCGGCAGTTCGAGACCCGAGTGTGCCGCATGACGGAGTGAGCTCCTGTCTCTGGCCCCAGCTCCCGCCAACCTAGCAGTTCGAAAGCAAGAAATTGCAAGTAGATCAATAGGCACCACTTCGGTGGGAAGGTAACCGCATTCCGTGCGTCTTGGCGACTAGTCATGCCGGCCACATGATGTCGGAAATGTCTTCAGACAGCGCTGGCTCTTCGGCTTGGAAACGGAGATGAGCACCGCAACCCTAGAGTCGGATTCGACTGGCTTTCTCAGGCAAGGGAAACCTAAACAAAGTAAAACAGCCGCCGTAGAACCAGTCGCTGGTGTTTTGAAACAACAGGCGGGCAAACGAGTCAAAATCAGCATAAGAATCGCTGAGATGAGACAGGCTGCTAGATCCAGTGAGACAACCGGGTCTGCGTCAACCCAAACAAGCGGCCGTCCTTGGCTTTACCATGCCGTTCTGGGACACTCCCGCCATCTCCACTTGGTGATTTTTTTAGGAGTTTATTTAAAATATTTATCGCCTGCCTCTCCTTTCTGAAAAAATAATGACGCTCCACAGGGCCTCTCCGCGTCTAAAACGAAACCCTGGGCTAAAGTCATGGCTGGTAAACTATGATGAGATGTGACAGAACAACCACAGGGGAAAGCGGGAATGAAACTGTAAAAGCATGGTGGAAAAGCACAGGATTATAAAAGCAGTTTTAAACATACATGCTGGGAGGATACATTTTGGGCGGCGGGGGCAAGGCTTTCGCTTGGCATCGGGCAACCCAGTGTGGGGAGGAGTTTCAAAGTCAAGGTGCCACCACGGGAAAGACCTTGTCTGAGGTCTCAAAAAAGATATCATAGCATTGGAGAAGGTGCCGAAAAGGGCAACTGAAATGATTAATGGGATGGAAGAACCTTCCCTGTGAAGAAAGGTTAAAGAGGTTAGGGCTCTTTAGCCTGGAGAAACGACGACTGAGGGGTGACTGAATAGAGCAGTGGTGTCAAACAGGTAGCCCTGGGGGCAAATCAGGCCCCCAGAGGGCTTCTATCAGGCCCGCAGAGGCTGTCTTCTGCTTCCAGTTCTGCTGCTGCTGCGTCCTCGTAGGTTTGTAGCTTACAGATACAGAAGAAGAAGAAGAGATTGGATTTATACCCCATGGCCCTTCACTACCCAAAGGTGTCTCAGAGCAACTTACAAACTCCTTTCCCTTCCCCTCCCCACAACAGACACCCTGTGAGCAATGCTCCCTCTAAGCTGTGGAGTCCTGTGAGCAAAACTTCTACTTTGTGAGCTACTGGCATTAAAGTTGTGAGCCAGCGATTTGGCTACTGCACAAATTAGTTTGCTCTGGAGCCCTCCTTCCTGAGCTAAGGCAAAAATGTGTGAGCCGGAGGCTAAAAAACTGTGAGCTAGCTCACGCTAACTTAGAGGGAACACTGCCTGTGAGGTCGGTGGGGCTGAGAGAGCTCTTGACAGAAACTGCTCTTTTTCAAAGACAGCTCTTATCAGAACTATGGCTTGCCCAAGGTCATCCAGCCAGGTGCAAGTGGAGGAGTGGGGAATCAAACCCGGTTCTCCCAGATTAGAGTCCGTGCACTTAACTACGACACCAAACTGAAACACCTGAACAGCATACTCAAGATTGCAACAGCACAGACATTTTGATGCAAGAATTCAGAGCAAGAGGTGTCAGTTATCAGACACTGTTAAATAAACAAAATATTGCAAGAGTGCTGATGTTTTAAGCATGGTTTTATTTTAAGTAAAAAAAAAACCCTCTGTGTCCTTTATAAAGTTTATATCTCATCTACCTGGCATTACGTTTTATGACACACATGGCCCGGCCAAACAAGGTCACACTTATGTCAGATTCGGCCCTCATAACAAATGAGTTCGACACCCTTGGAACAGAGGTTTACAAAATTATGCATGGGATAGAGAAGGTAGAGAAAGAAGTTCTCTTCTCCCTGTAGAAGGTCTGTAGTTCAGTAGTTCGAGACCCGAGTGCCATGTGATGGAGTGAGCTCCCGTTTCTGGCCCCAGCTCCTGCCAACCTAGCAGTTCAAAAGCAAGACATTGCAAGTAGATAAATAGGTCCCGCTTCGATAGGAAGGTAACAGCGTTCTGTGCGCCTCTGCATCTCGTCATGCCGGCCACATGACCACGGAAACCTCTTCGGACAGCGCTGGCCCTTCGGCTTGGCAACGGAGATGAGCACTGCATCCCTAGAGTCAGATTCGACCGGCTTGCGAGCGAGGGAAACCTTTACCTTTACCTAAAGTGAGCCGAGTGAGCTATGCATAGGCATCCATTCCGAAAATCGTTTTTGGGCACAGAATATGCTCAGCCTGGGCCATTGATGAACCGATGACAGAGAGGTTTGGGAGCAGACCTTCTGTTAATAATCCACAACTCTCTTGATCCAGGTGGACAGGAGGGACTGGATTTGCTTAGTCTTGGGAGTGTCGCCTTGGCCGAAATATTTCCTATGATCCTCCGTTTTCTTCCTATAATCCTCCAGGTTTTTCCCCCTTTCCCCTAAAAGGGTGTCACCTGCCCTGATAAGCGAAGGACCCGCAGCCAGCTAAACAGCCCCGCAGTGGGGGGGGTTTCAGCCAGGCTTGTCTTGACGCTGAAAGCTGCCGACAGGCCTCTCGCTCCCTTCGCGCATTGCCATGGCAACTACAGGCATCCACCGGAGCAGCTCGGGGTGTTTAGAGGAGGGGGGGGAGCCTGTCAGGAGCCCAGCCGCTTTTCCAAATAACGTCACGGATTACGCCTGTTCTCAGAAACGGCTCTTTGTCGGCGGCGGAGGGTCCCACGTGTGAACCAACCTCTGGGCCGAACGGTTAAGAACATAAGAGAAGCCAATGCCGGGTCAGGCCAACGCCCCATCCAGTCCAACACTCTGGATCACACAGAGGCCGAAAATACCAGGGGGCCTCAGGAGGTCCAGCAGTGGGGCCAGGACACTAGAAGTCCCCCGCTGTTGCCCCCCCCCAAGCACCAAGACGACAGAGCATCCCTTGCCCCAGACCGAGGGGTCCTGTCTATAAAGGTAAAGGTCTCCCTTGCTCGAAAGTCAGTCGAATCCGACTCTAGGCTTGCGGTGCTCATCTCCGTTTCAAAGCCAAAGAGCCAGCGCAGTCCGAAGACGTTTCCGTGGTCATGTGGCCGGCATGACTAAACACCAAAGCGCACGGAACGCTGTTACCTTCCTACTGAAGTGGTACCTATTTATTTATTTATTTATTTATTATTCACATTTTTATCCCGCCCTCCCCGGCGGCTCAGGGCGGCTTACAGGGCATATTGCCATTTATCTACTTGCAGTTTCTTGCTTTCGAACTGCTAGGTTGGCAGGAGCTGGAACAAGAGACGGGAGCTCACTCCGTCATGCGGCACCCGGGTCTCGAACTGCTGTACTACCGACCTTCCACAGCCTGCAGTTCAGCGTCTTAACCACTTGAGCCACTGACGGACCTCTGCTCCATGTGTTTATCTAATTCCCTTTTGAAGCCGTCCATGCTTGTAGCCGCCGCAACCTCCTGTGGCAGTGAAGTCCATGTATTAATCACTCTTTGGGTGAAGAAGGACTTCCTTTTCTCCATTCTAACCCGACTGCATAGCCATTTCATGGAGTGCCCACGAGTTCTTGTATTGTGAGAAAGGGAGAAAAATTATTTCTTTCTCTACCCGCTCTATCCCATGCATGATCTTATAAACCTCAATCATGTCATAAGAACATAAGAAAATAAGAGAAGCCAATGTTGGATCAGGCCAACGGCCCATCCAGTCCAACACTCTGGCTAACACAGGGGCGGAAAATACCAGGTGCCATCAGGAGATCCAGCAGTGGGGCCAGGACACCAGAAGCCCTCCCACTGTTGCCCCCTGGAAACATCAAGAACTCCTGGGCACTCGATGAAATTGCTGAGCAGTCGGGTTAGAACCGATAAAAGGAAGACCTTCTTCACCCAAAGGTTGATTAACACATGGAACTCATTGCCACAGGAGGTGGTGGAAGCTACAAGCATGGACGGCTTCAAGAGGGAATTGGATAAACATATGGAGCAGAGGTCCATCAGTGGCTATTAGCCAGAAGGTATAGATAGGAACTCTCGATCTGGGGCAAGTGATGCTCTGTCTTCTTGGTGCTTGGGGCAGGGGGGCAACAATGGGAGGGCTTCTAGTGTCCTGGCC